TCTTCATGGACCAGCTTCTCGCACGGAAAGATTTCCCAGGGTTTGGCCTGTTCACTAAAGTCCCTCCTGGGTTCCGTGAACACCAAGCGTACTTTGAGTCTTATATCTTGAAGCATGTGATTGCCCAATTGACGAATAATGTTCAGCTCAATCAGAAAGCAATATGCGAGCCTCGTGTACTGACCAACCTCTCTCGATTCTGCACACATATGTCGGAGGCCATCTTTGAAGGGTGGTTCATGAATGGCGCCGAAGCTATGATTGACTTTGTTGGCATGCTCCTCGAATTTCTGCAGCGTCCGGATATCTCGAACCTCAAGAGTGTCCGACTTTGCAGCCAGGCTGTCGCCACAATCCGAAGCTGTTTACTCAGGATCATTCTTTTGAGATTATCAGATCTTGACAACCAAGAAACCACTTTGGTAGAGGCCAAGCAGTTTATGGACAAGATGGTGTACTGGCAGATGTCAATTCTCGGGTGCTTTACCAGCGAGGATGAGTTCCTCAAACTCTTCTGGTACCAGCTCTACACGAAACTCATTGGCGACAAGATGCCCCTTCGTATTGCGGCAGCTAACTTCTTACGCATTATCTTGGTGCAGAAGCCAGAAGAATCTGCTACGCTAATCCGCTCTTGCATGTCGCCAGACCAGAAGCAACTTACGAAGGACTTTCAAAAGTTGACAGGTGTGGATGATGAATCATTCGTTGACTGGGTTGATAAGCACCGCCCATCACTAGATGTCCTCTTCTTTGGCGGTATGTCCAAAACATGGGAGGATTTCGTCAGTTTAGAAAACGTGCGAACTTCGGAGACAGCCAAAGTTCGTCTCGCCAAGCGCAAAGATAAGCTCAGATCCTTGCATGCGGAGAGCATCAGTACAGAGAAGATTCTCATCAGTCACGATATTGGTAACAGCGCCTGGATGAAGAGCATCTACAACTCTGAGTACTTCAAGTATCAGAGACTCATGCAGGACCAACAAGATGACCTAGTATTCCTAAGCGCGGCTTACACCAAGATGGAGCGGGATCTTATGAGGCCTGGTGCGGTGTTCAGTGAGGCAGCTACACCCAAGTGGAAGCTTGATCGCACAGAAGGACGAAATCGAATGAGGCTGAGGGTTCTACCGGATTTTACGATCAGCAAGGATGAGTATCAACCGAAGAGGAAGGCGAGCGAGGTGCTACAGACTCTCCGGATCAATACATCGGCCAGTCCAGCTCCTTCGATCCAGGCCTCTGCTGTGACGCCGACGAGACCAAGCGCTGCATCGGCTCTGGATGGAAGTACTGAACAGCCTCAATTCACGGAGGAGCCAGAATCCACCGAGCCAGCCGAGCAACCTAGCTCTGGTGTTGCGCCAGAGGATGACTTTGAGCTTGTGGACGATCCTAATGATCCCAACGAAGGAGATGAAGGTTTCGAGGACAAGAACCGCAAAGTGATGCGACGATTGGAGCGTGGAGACCAAGTTCAGTCTGCATACAATATCTCACGCATCATCGGACTGGAAGCATGTGAGGGAATCCTCATAATTGGCAAGGAGGCCCTTTACATAATGGACAACGTGTTTCAGTGTGCCAACGGCGACATCGTCAATGTCTGGCAGGCTCCTCCCGAAGAGCGAGATCCTTTCTCTCAGATCGTCACGGATGCTAAGACATCTGAGAAGCGACAGAACAACAAGGAGCAGGAATCGAGGCATTGGCGATGGCAGGATGTTATCAGCATTTCGAAGCGCCGGTTCCTGTTCCGAGACGTTGCGATTGAGGTGTTTTTCACAGATGGCCGAAGTTATCTCCTGACCACGATCAATCCTGTGGTGCGAGATAACCTGTTCGTGAAAATGCTCAGCAAGGCACCCCACACAAGCGGCGCAAACACGCTTCCGAACCCTGAAGATGCTTGGCGCCTGGAGTCTCTCAAAGTCTTTGATGAGTCGCCCCAAGGATTTGGGTCCAAGTTCGGCACATTCTTCAACTCTTCGCCTTGGAACCCTCTCCTTAAGAAATGGCAGAAGGGCGAGATCTCCAACTTTCACTATCTCATGATGGTCAACACTATGGCTGGAAGGACGTTCAATGATTTGACTCAATACCCAGTCTTTCCCTGGGTTCTGGCTGACTATACAAGCGAGGACTTGGACCTTGATGATCCCAACACTTTCCGCGATCTGTCAAAGCCAATGGGTGCCCAGACACCGAACAGAGTTGGAGGTTTCGTTGAGAGCTACAATGCGTTGGCAGAGATTGGAGAGATTCCTTTCCACTATGGTACACACTACTCTTCTGCCATGATTGTCTCATCATACCTGATTCGTCTACCGCCATTTGTTCAATCATACATCCTACTGCAAGGCGGAAGCTTCGACCACGCCGACCGTCTGTTTCAGTCGATCCCAGAAGCCTGGAAATCAGCCTCGTGCAAGAACAAGGCTGATGTCAGAGAGCTCATCCCTGAGTTCTACTGTCTCCCTGAATTCTTGACCAACGTCAACGGCTACAACTTTGGCAATCGCGAAAGCAACGGCGTTAAGGTCGACCACGTTGAGCTTCCACCATGGGCTGAGGGTGACCCGAGGATCTTCATCGCCAAACACAGAGAAGCGCTTGAAAGTCCGTATGTGAGCGAGAACCTACACCAGTGGATTGATCTGGTCTTTGGCTACAAGCAACGAGGTGAAGCAGCTGTGGAAAACCTCAATGTGTTTCATCATCTCTCGTACCGTGGCGCCACGGATCTGGACAGCATCACGGATGCAAAGGAGAGGGCTATTCTAGCTGGTGTGATCCACAACTTTGGACAGACGCCTCATCAAGTGTTTATGAAGTCGCACCCTGCTCGAGAACACGTCAAGAGTCCAGTTAGACGATTAGACAGCAGTGTGTTTTCGCTGGGCTGTCTACCACATCCACTCCTTGGTAAGGGCTCTGCTTGCTTTGAACCCCAGACATCACTAAACGATATAATAGAAAGCCACGAACGAGTAGCCTCCCTCATCCACGCCTCCAAACTCGACCGGTTGCTGTGTGCCTCTCCATTCCGCCTCAACTTCCCTCCATACGACAAATTCCTTGAATGGGGATTCGCAGACAATAGCATTCGCTTCTTCTTCAGCGACAATCGAAAGGTAATGCATAAACTTGTCCCTCCATCTGGTCCCATCGCTAACTCAACAAAGCCTGCTGGACTCTTTGAGAACCTCCACATTGGCCAGATCTCATGTGCTTGTTTTGCCGACTCCAAAACCTTGATCACTGCTGGAGAAGACTGTGTTATTTCGGTATATGCATTACAGACTTTACCTGGAAAGCCGGTTGAGCTACTGCCGAGGTCCAGTCTTTTTGGACACAAGTCGCCTGTCACAACAATTGCAGTCAGCAAAGCGTTCAGCACGCTTTTGACTGCTTCTGCAGATGGGCAAGCATTCTTGTGGGATCTGAACAGACTGTCGTTTATTAGAAAGCTGCCATTGGTACGACCTGTCGAGTGTGCACGTATCAACGACATTTCGGGCGAGATTCTTCTCTGCTCGGGACCTAACGTGATACTGTACACCCTCAACGGCACACTCCTTCTGGAACAGAATGTCTGCTTTGAGCAGGACGACTACATCCACTCATGTGCTTTTTACGAAGGTGCTGGAAACGAATGGCTCGACAATTACTTGATCTTCACGGGCCACAAGCGCGGCAGAGTCAATGTCTGGCGACGCAGTATCGTCGGCAGTCGATGGACGCTTGAGCTCCTCAGGAAGCTTGACCATGTCGACTATAAGAACGATAAGGGTGGCAACACAGAGGCAGGCATAACGTGCATCAGTCCAATGCCAACATGCGTCTACACAGGAGATGATGACGGTCGAGTTGTAAGTGTCTCCTCCTCTCAATAATGTTCCTCCAGCTAACAGAGCTAGTACGAATGGAATCTACTAAGCAGGGAAAGATAGAGTCTTTCCCTACCAAATCGGACATCAGTTCGATATGACCACCGACATAGCCTCGTATGATTAAAGAGGAGGGGGATATTCTGTTTTTTGGCTTCTTGCACATTACTACGGCGTTTCCAGCTTGACGTTTATACGCATGCTTAGAAAATCAACGACTCGCGCACACCCTCACACAACACACACACATATATAGGTATTGAAATGTAGACAGCCGGTGGAAGGATTGATTGTAGAAAAATCGAATTGAAGCGTCAATTGCTGCTGGATCTTCTCGTCCCTTCCTCTATGATATCCCTTCTCTCCCTCGTATCGGGAAACGCCGTAGTTTGTACAAAAGTGTGCTCCTCGGAGCCGTGATATTTCTTTCTTCTTTTCAGTTCGACATGTTTAGTCGTCGTAGCCGGTGAGTTGTTTCCTGGGACCAGAGGGGACTGTGTATGTTAGTCTCGCATTGGAGGATTGAGGCCGAGGGGCACGCACTTGGATAGGTGACGGGAACGGGAGGAGCATCGATATCGCCAAAGTAGTGTCGGATTGGAGGAACAATTGGCATGGCGACGGGGCCTGCTGCGCCGATGATGACGGACCAGAAGAGGGCGGGACGCTCGCGGGCTGCCCAGCGGCAGTACTTGAGGGGAGTTTGCCAGAAGAGAGGAGCGGCAGACATGGTGGCCTGTATCAATTAGCACAGAAGATAACAATAGCGTATCGGGAGTGAGGCCATACTCAATTGACGATGTGATGTTTGTCGTTCAATCTTGGTGGTGATGATGGTCTCGAGCAACGGTCCAATCGTATCCTCGGAAAAACCAAGCCGCGGGCATCGGATTATTTCTCACTGTATCCGCACTGAACAGAGCTGCTCTAGAGTCGCTGCCACAAAAGGACTAGCGCTTCCGCAGTTTCACATCCCGTTCCCCCACTGAAGGCTACGTATCCCTAAGACGCCAACGCAAGCTACCACGCTCCGTAGGTTCCACTGAGAGCTACTCGCAAGCTGTCCAAACTTGCACCAAACACTATAACCCCCCAACTCAGAACCACACAATGCGGTCACTCTTGAGCCTCGTGGTCTTTCTCTTCGCGGCGCTGGTTTCGGCCGTGAGCACAACTGGTAATAGATTACTGGTCATTCTCGATACGCCCAAGGACAAGGAGGCGTATAGTACATTTTTCCGCGATCTGTCTGGTATGAGCCTCTGCGCAGTATTGGGGAGATGGTGAAGCTTACAATTGATAGAACGGGGTTATGATATCACGTATGAGACACCAAAGAGCGATGCTTTGACATTGTTCAAGTACGGCGAGAGGACTTATGATCATTTGGTCTTCCTCCCCACCAAGATCAAGGGTTCGTCATGTCTTGTTCCTTGAGAATGCAGCTGTACTGACTGGTGTAGGTCTGGGACCCAATCTAACTCCCAATGCCATCGTCGACTTCATCAATGCCGGCGGCAACATCCTCCTGACCATGTCTGCTACCCACAAGGTCCCTGTTACTCTCGTCTCCGTCCTCGACCAACTCGACGTTACCATTCCCGCTGAGCGCAACGGCAAGGTCGTCGACCACTTCACCTACGACGCTGTTTCCGCCGCCGAGACACACGACACCCTCGTCCTCGATGCTCCCCGCAACGTCCGTCCCGGTCTGAAGGACTACTTTGAGATTCCCGGCGCATTCATCTCTGTTCCCCACGCCATTGGCCACACTCTTGGCTCAGGACCTCTTCTTACACCCGTTCTTCGAGCGCCCCCTACCGCTTATAGCTACAACCCCAAGGAGCAGGGTGATACTGTTGAGCCTGATGAGCTGTTTGCTGCTGGAAAGCAACTTGCGCTTGTCTCTGTCTTCCAGGCTCGCAACTCTGCGCGCGTCACTGTCGTTGGTGCTGCTGAGATGCTGCAGGACAAGGCCTTTGACACCAAGGTTACTCGACAGGGTGGAAAGGCTATTTTCCCTGCCAACAAGGAGTTCATCACCAACCTGGCTGGCTGGACTTTCCAGGAGCTTGGTGTTTTGCGAGTTAACAAGATTGAGCATCACCTCAAGGGCGACAATGAGACCAACCCTGAGCTGTACCGCATCAAGAACGATGTTGTATGTAAAGACCTCCCGTGGCACGATTGGCCTCACTAACATTTCACAGACCTACAGCATCTCCGTCTCCGAGTACGCCTGGAACGACTGGCAACCCTTCCACCTCCCTGAGGGCGACCACCTCCAGCTCGAGTTCTCCATGCTGTCCCCTTTCCACCGCATCTCCCTGAAGCCCATTCATGTCGGCGAGGACGAGACTGTCTACGGCACCGACTTCGTTCTTCCAGACCAGCATGGCATCTTCAACTTCATGGTCAACTACAAGCGACCTTTCCTGACCAACGTTGAGGAGAAGCGAACTGTCAGCGTTCGACACATGGCTCACGACGAGTACCCCCGAAGTTACGTGATCAACGGTGCTTGGCCCGGTCTGACTGGCATCTCAGCTACTATTGTTGGATTCCTGTCATTCTGCATCGTGTGGATGTACAGCCAGCCTGTCAAGTCAGTCGCTGGCGCTAAGAAGACGCAATAGAGGATGGAGCAATCAATGTACGAGTATTTGTTGCTGCAACGTCACGATTAAGAGTTCGTGGATATGTTGTATTGTAGAGTGGGACCAAAAGTGAAATATAGAATGCGCATTTGTTTTCCTACAGCTATTGAAGTGTTTACAGTTCCCTGATGTATGTGACTTGAGATACGAAGATGTGATGCTCCCTCAGATTAGCTCTCTTGGGTTCTCACTGACAACTCGCGGCAGTGGACAAGAAAATGCCCTGCAAACATCCTAGATGATGCCCGCCGCTGTTGCCTGCAAATTTGGCTTTTTGGTCGATTGATCATCACCGGGCAGCAAATTCGTATCTCAAAGCATTCCCTCTGTCCCATATGTCTCCCCCGAAGGCCAAGCCTGCTCCGATTGAAAACTATATCATGCGAATCACGAGTGTCTCTATATTCCCAGCAAGCACCTCCATGGGAGGGTTCGCAGAGGAAGAGAACGACTTCACGCAAAGGAAATTATCGTCACTGCGGCTACTCTAGGCACTTGCGAAGAATACATGAATGAAAAACAAAGGAAACAACTTCAAGGTCTGCTCAGATCTCTGTTCTTGAGTGAGGTACATGTTCGCAACAAAAGTCAGTTTCCCCGAAGGGCATACCGAGCAAGTGAAGTGAATCGCCAACTTTGGTGTGTGAAGCAGTTATCATCACCGCAGACCAGCCCCCACGAGCCAAGTACAGGACGAGAGGAAATGCAAAAACGCCGAACTCCAACGCCAACTCCAACGCCCGCAAGAAAAACAACCCCAAAAAGACCCCTCCCAGGCCAAATGGCCTGGGACCAAAAAACAAGACGAAAAAGCAAACACAAAGGAAATAAAAAGCAAAACCAACCCCCGTGGTCAAATGACCACCCAAAAAAGCGCGAAAGCAAGAGCAGGAAAGCAAAAGCGGAAATGCAAGTTAGTACATACATACCGAGTCACTTGACTGAGGGGAGGCGGGCGAGGGAGAGGGCGAGTTCGGGGTCGGGGAGGAGGGAGGTGAGGTGAAGGCATGGTGTTGAAGGTCGGGCAAGGTCGAAGAGGTGAAATGCGAAAAAATAAAAGAGAAAGACAAAAGAAAGGTCACTATGCGAGAAGAAAGAAGCTGTCGAGTCAAGCAGTAAGTGTCGAAAGCAACAAGTGTATAGCAAGGTCAAGTCCAAATCGCAAGTCGAGAATGCGACAGGTTGATGAAGAAGAGGAGAAAAGGCCGGAGGAACTGGGAGAGAAGCCCTCTATTTATAGCCGTTCAGAGTGAGGAGTGATTGCGCATTCAGAGTGCGAGGGTTTACGCTGAAATTGAACGTTGGGTGTGGTGTTGACGGACGTCGCCAGCTGCCAGCAGCTGTCAAGATATCCAAAATCGTTGCTGAGGTTCAAGTCGCGCTGCGCTTCGCGTTGGAGAATGGCAAGGCTGTGGGGACGTGCGCAAGCTCGACCTGTGGCGCTGTGGCACAAGCGGGGATTTGGAGCAAGGCTGGTGTGGCTGCGAAAACTTCCGCCGTTGCCAGGTCGCGATCGCCAATTCAGCTTCTGCAATTACGTTGCTGTCCTCACTTCAATCCCTTTGACGCCGCGCATCCGTCAAAATGGTAAGTCCATGCTCCGTTTTTACTGCGAGCAGCTTCAGCTAATGATCTCAGGCACGAAACTCGGAAAAGGCTCAGTCTATGCTGTTTCGCTTCCGCGAAGCCCAAGCAGCAGACCTAGGCATCATCGACGCCGGCCGCACACGTCGACCCAAGCTCATCACCGAAGTCTCAGCCATTCCGGCCTGTGAAAAATGGCGCGGCCAAGTCTTGAAGGAAATCTCGCGCAAGATGTCACGGATTCAGGATCCTATCCTCAGCGACTACCAGATCCGCGATCTCAACGACGAAATCAACAAGCTCATGCGCGAGAAGCACATGTGGGAGATTCAGATACGCAATCTCGGAGGACCGAACTACATGCGCGGCGGGGGCAAGATCTACGATGAGCAAGGACGCGAGATACCCGGTAGTGGGAAAGGCTATAAATACTTTGGCAGAGCGAGAGAGCTGCCGGGTGTGAAGGAGCTGTTTGAAGCAGCGAAGAGCCAAGGCGAGGAAAAGCCGCTCGAGGAGAGGCATGATATGAGGCGGAATGTTGACGCAGCGTATTATGGGTATGCGCCTGATGAGGAGGATGAGGAGATGCTGGCGTATGAGGCGGAGAAGGAGAGGCAGGCGGTTGAGCACTTGCTCAAGACGGGGAGTAAGGATGTGCCGGAGGGGTGGGAGCCGCTGCCGGGGGATAGTGGTGATGGGATTACGTGGGATTTACCGACGTTGGAGGAGGTGCAGGAGGAGTTGATCGATCGGAGGAGAAGGAAGCTTTTGGGGCAGTTGTGATGTGTTCTCCGTGTATCATCGGAGAGGTCTACGGGGACGGGAAGTTGTATTGTATTGTTGGTTGTTGGATCAGTTGAGGCTAGGTGATGGTTCACATTTACGGCGTTCAGGACGGTTACTTATTTACAGGCGTATGGGTTCACTATGATATTTGTTAAAAAGAATATCTTTCCAATCTTACATCTCACCCCTCTTAGGCGACATCACCAACCCGCAACTGAAGCCATGCCCCGAAGCTGTGGATAAGCGGTTATACCGAGCTGTCAGTTATAGCTGTCACCCGGATATCACAGATTCCGGGTATAACACGGACGAATTATACATCCACCAAACAAAAACAGCTCGAGTTACAGTTACAGTGTGCATGAACCGCCAGGGGTGTTTTAAACCCGTCAACATTGCCTGTTTCGTTTCACACACCAATGAACTCTAATAATATGTCATCCACAACGTCAAGCGAGATATTCACATTTCAAAGGGAATGTGGAAAAAAAGGATTTTGTTAAGAGTGACGATCTTCATTGGTGATACCCCCCTTGCAACCCCTGTTGTGAAGGAGAGACCCCTGAAGGTCCTGAAGCTGACGGTGAAGCGCCACGCAGGTGAGTGTGCAGATGACGCCTTTTGGTCCAGGGGTCAGAGAGATAGATGATGATGGAAGTGGTTATCTGATTTAAGAAGAAAAATTGGCACTTCGAGGTTATCTGGATTATTCAATGAAGCGAAATCTCTAACTTGATCCATAGAATTCGCATTGCATGGATGAGACGTGGGTGTGTGACGCTGTTTCATTTCGTACCAAAGTGATCGACAGTCTTGTCTTGTCTTGTCTCTCCTCGCCCTGTCAAACAGCGTCTCCCCTCTCCCTCTTGTCTCGGGAATCTTCTCGTATCTCACTCCTAATAAACGCCCTTTGCTTATGTACAATCATGTCAGCCTTGCCTGTGCCTCTCGTGTAATACCGAAGATCAATTCTCTGTGTAGTACAATCTTTGATGATCAAACCCATTCTCTGATGTAAATCACTAGTTTCCTTTTCTATTCTTGGCTCTCCCCTTTTCTCGTCCATTCACAATTCGAAAAAGTGACCCCGCGGCTGAACGGCGCCAAAAACGCCCAGAAAGGAAGAGAAAAAAAAACCGTCGAGCCCCTGAGCTTGTGATGTACCTGCAGCGCCCTGACTAGCACCCTACCCGTCTAAATCCTCTGCATCCACTCTAGTGATGAAAAGAGTAACGCTGGGCCCCTATTACGGTTCAATTCAATCACTTGCAGAGAATTGATCAGCGAGAAAAGTCTCTTGAAATATATGTTTATTCTCTATCTATCCTCTCTTGTTTTGTGATACACTGTTTGTTCTTGAGGTGTCTAAAATTGGATATTCCTTCAGCTAGTGGCTGTCTTGTTAAATTAATCCACTCTGGTCCCTTTACGCCTCGTGCCCCCCCTGGCCTTGGCCTTTTTAGCACTTTACCCCCCTAGGTTGTGGGCTGTGGAGACCCTTTAGGTACTTTACGGTAAGTGCTGCAGCCCAGGCTTCTTCTTCCCGTTCTTCTCGGCAACGGTCTCGTCTTCTAGAAATATGCACAGAAGAGACAGACCAGGCCAATGTCTCTGTCTCTGACTCTGTCTTTACATCATCGTCATTCCTAACTACGTTTCAATTCAGTCCTTACCGTCACATGCTCATGATATAATTCCTCAGGTCTCTTTTTCCTCTCCTCTTCTTCTCTTTTCGAGATGGTTTCGTTCTTTGGCCTCAAGCTTGGAGGCGATAGGAAAAAGTCACAGTAAGCCTCCTTTCTCTCCAGTCTCCCATTTACAGCTTTGCTGATATTTGCCAGGGACAAGAAGCTAGCTTCGAAACAAATACAGCATTTACACCGGAATGAAGAATCTGTCTCGTCAACCCCCAAAGACCTCCGCCGACAGAGTAACTTCTCCCGTCCAAATCTCGCTCGCCCTGGTACTTCCAGCTCTCATCTCGACCCACCAACGCAATGGAAAGCCCCTTATATGAACGGCGCGGGAGGTGCTTCCTCCATGGTAGACCTAGGGGCACCGCGAGCACCAGGAATGGGAAATCCGCGGTTTCACTCATCAGACATAATGCTCAACACACGCTTCGGTAATGGTAGTTCTACGAGCCTCGTTGCGCCGGGCGCAAGACCTGGCTCACCTACACGTCCTGGGACGGCCATCTCGACAAAGGAGCCTGAGAACCCCTTCAACATTCACTTCGGTAAAGATTCTGTCAGCAGTATACCGCCGACGCCCCAGGATGAACCAAGGGGCCATGCAGAACCCTTCGAATTCAATCTCGGAAACGAGATTAAGGAAATCAGAAACAAAAGCCCTATTCCTACGGCTAACAATGGATATCCATCTCCTCCACCCTCGATCGTCAACGCTGAGCGATCTTTCTCGCCGGACCCGCGCCCTTCGAGCAGTCGTCAGAACGTGCCCACCGCCCCTAGCCTTCGGAACCCCAGCACTGCAGGTCCAATGTCTCTCCCAAGCCCGGCTGTATCAGTTGCTAGAAGCGACGATGTATGGGAGCCGCAGCCTCCTGTTATTCGCAATGTGACAGCCAAGCGCGACACTTTTACCTT